AAATACTTCTGGTCAAACATTCCATTTTATTCCAATATCATCAAATAAAATTTTTTAGCCAATCAAAATTTAATTTTATTTATTTAGCCAATAAAATTTTCGGCCAAAATTCCATTTTATTCCATTTTTATTTAAAGGAAATATTTACCGCCTCTAATTTCTGCGCATAAATCAAATTGCAAAGAGTGATAAGATATGCAAATACGATTATATGATTACGTGTTATTTCACCGACAATTATTTTTATAAGCTGCACTAACCTTAACTCTAATTCTAATCTGACCGTAACAAAATGACCAGAATCGCTTTGTCGGTGAAATGAACTGTTGGTGAAATAACTGTCGGTTAAATGAACTTGTCGGTAAATGGATTATCGGTGAACTAAGCTGACGGTTAGGTGATTGTCGCGGAATGCGCACCACCCGATTACGATTATACAGACGTTTTTCATGAAGTAATCTTATTACTCAGTGCATTTCTAAACCATTTCAATCACTAATAGAATAAACCAATTTCACGTATGGACCATCATTTATATTTAATATTTTTTAATTTATTTTACAATATAAAATCTATTGTGCTGATGGACAATTTTGCGGATTTCTCCAATACTCCGCGGAATAAAGGTGAAGAATCGAATTTCCTTTGCATAATACACGGGATGTTAAAGGTAGCCAGTAGTGACGAATCTAAATTTTATATAGGAAAATTAAAGTATATGTAATTTAGGCCAGAGAGCATAGTATCGGGCGGAATTAAAGAATATGGATACAAAAATCTCGAAAAATTCCGAAAAGAAAATGAATGAAAATAAAAGAAGAGCAAGATTGGAGTAAAAATTTGAGCTCGTATCCGATATTTTTCGAAGGGAAAATATAAATTCCAAAATTTATATCATGCGATATCATGCGCATTTTATATAAAGTGCGCATTAATGCGCATTCATGCGCATGTTATTATAAAATGCGCATTTTCCCCATCACTAGTAATAACGAATAAAGCAAGATAATCATTTAATAGCTCTTTATAGTTAGTGTTAGGATGAGAAAAGCTGTATTGTAAATTGTTCAGACAGCTCTTTGGGGTTAGATCATGATGCAATGCGAGAATCGGAGATTCTGTAGATTTAAGATTTTGCAGATTTAAATAAATATAAATATAATAGGTCAATAGACAACCTAAAATCTCGGAAATATTCACCACAAAATTGTGGGATCGCATCTTGCAAAGCGCATTATGGAAGTTTGCAAAAGGTGCAACCTCTGTAGGTCATAATATCATGTGAAATCACAGAAAATCGGAAGATTGTGGTGGACTTTTGATTGTCAGTCAATTTTGAAGATTTCGACTAATATAGACGTCATTGATTGAGAATATAATCGATAGGCAATTCAGAATCTTAAAAAATTTTCCCACTGTCATCATTACAAAATCACGGGTCACGCCTTTTTACAAAGTGCTATAGTATCTAGATTAGAATAGTTGTATTATGCATTTAAAAAGTTTATAAGGAATTTTTTTGGTTAAGACAATCCTTTGTACATGCAATTCACGTGTTCATTATTAATTATCCAATATGACACCTAACGCTAAAATAACATTTATATAACTTTTACTCAGTAATGAAATGTAGATTATGCACTGATACAATATAGTGCTAAGTTTATAAGGTAGAAAGATTTGGCTGTTTTGTTAATCGATCAATGCCTTTTTTATCTGGTGTTAGTGAACTGAACGAATCTTCACAATTGTTTAGCTGAAATACATATGCCATTGTAAAGAATTTAAACATTATAGTATCTTATTGTTTGCCTCTGTTATTATATTCATGACATGTATTTCAATCCAATGATAAATTGGACACCTGACGCAGAGTAAATATAAGGTACTACGTCACAAACGGACGCGTCGAAGAATAATATATAGATAATTTACTCATAAAATTATTGATTTTTTGTTTAGTACTTTTATACTTAAAAACATAAAAGTTTTTGGTTACATAAATCAATTGGTCATGCTGACAGCTTAGTATATAAGGCTTTCATTAAAGTTTCCAAAAATCAGATTTATTTAAAATTACTCAAATTACATGAAAAACTAAGCTTGTATTTCGAATAATAAAATGTTTTATTGTGCTTCTGAAAAATTTACTTTTTAGCAACAAACCTATTTATTCTATATAGGTATGATTTTGATTACATTGACTATCGAATTCATCAATTAATTTTTGATAATCGCTTTGGGATACCCATATAGTCTGGCATATAAGTAGCAGATTCAAAATTTTGCTTGACAGCTTCTAATACAAGATAAATATGATTAAAAAACCCAAGTTCATATCTAAACTATATGTCAAGACTTACAAATCCAACATATCCTCCTGCTATCTGCCCATCGCTATACTCAATTCTTGCAGTGATGACGCTTGGACTATGTCCAATAAAAATTTTATTTGGACTTGGACAAATATGAATATGGACTAGTCCAAATAGTGTCCATGTCTATTCTTCTTTTTACCGATTTGTCGGGATATTTCGGACTTTAACCCTAATTTTGGCTTATTCTTTCGGAATATTTCGGAGTAGCAAGCCCACGTGTTTGATTTGGACTAAGTGCCTTATGTCCAATAGAAAATTATGGACAATATGGACATAGTCCATAACCCAATGGTCCATATTGTCCATGTCCATATTTTGCCAACACTGCTTATTGTAGTTTCGAATTTAAAATCAATTTAAGTTATATACTATTAATTATATAGTATCAAATTTAGAATCGACTTAAGTTACTTTTAAATTTTGTATCAACTTGGACTACATTTGGAATTCAGATCCAACCTAAGTGGATTCTAAATTTACAATAATTCCTTTCTGACTTATGTACGTACAAAATAAATAATACGTATTTACGATTTGTTATAAATCAGGATAAAATATTTATAGGTGAAACCCTAACGCTAATAAATAATCAACAGATTAAAGTAGGTGTCACCTATACTATATTTTATCCATAAATCATAGTATTAGTGACATTTTTTGCAGTTACATACAGCCTGAGTTTTATCTGGATAAACGGGTCTGGTTATCCGGCACATAATGCTGTAATGTCTATATAATTTTTTTTTACGTCAGCATCATGTGACTCATCATTCGATCGATTATCTCTAATGTAATTGATTCGTAACTCCGTTAGTACTGTACACTAAGTTTTGACAATATAATCCTCGCAAGTTGTTCAAGAACTTTATCCTGTTCGGGTAGGAAACTTATCAATGTTATAGATAATCCTGCAGGATTTTTTTACTGAATAAATTCAAAATTTCTTTTAAAGTCTAATTTTGCATTATCCAAAGTTTTTATCCATTTTAAATAAACAAAAGTTAATTTTATCGTTTAGTAAGTAGGAAAAGTTTAAAAAAAGAAATCTATTAGTATTTCTTTACTATACCAAGGGAGTTTTCTAGCTGTCGATTCAGGGATTTTTGTTAACCGGACTTATTATTTCGATGACTAAAATTTAATCTCCGCATTGATTGAGCATGAGAAAATCACATCGGGAAAAGTAATTTCTGCCGAAGAATTATAAAATGCATTATTAATAGTTATTATCCCTTTATTTGTAATGTAGGCAATTTGGCTGAAAAATATTGTAGCATGTGAAAATCCACTCCGTTGACGAAGGGATACCGATACGTTCTTTTCCGTTGTCATTCCTTTTAGAAGTTTATTGAAATTCCTTTATAAGAAGCGATCTACATTTGAAGCTTTTAATGACTTTAGAGTAATCCCTAATTCTTTCAACACCAATCTTTTCCAAGACCCAAATAACTTAATTTTTATGTTTGACATTGAAAAGGTTGAAAAATTTCTAACGTTGTGTAACTTACATCACTGCCTTATTAATGCTTCGGACTTTAATAAGTTTCCATTTTCTTAGATATTGAATGAAGGGCTTTTTTGTTGTGCTTAATTTTTGACGTTTGTAACTATTATTCATAGATGTCACACAATCATTTATTTAGGAAACAATAACCGAAAACGGCTTGTTGTCAAACAAATTTATTGATATAAATATACAATTTAAGTTTTCGATCGGAATTTTAAATCGTACTTACGTACTGTACGTAGTTTTCTTTGGAAATAAGATAACATCCAAGGAAAATCTTATTGTTTGAAATTAATGGCTTCAAATAATAATCATCGTCAGGATAACAGTAAACGTTCGAATAGAAAAAAAAACTTTTCGAATGATAAGTTAAATGACGGAAATAATGATTTGAATGCGATTACTTCAGATGGACCATCAAACTTTTATTCAAATAACGAAGATAACTTTCACTCTAATGAGAATACTGCAATTACTTCTGTTCATGATGAATCTAACAAACGTTCTAACAGAAAAAACAAATATCAGAATGAAAGAAGCAACGAAATGAATGATGATAGGAATCGTACTGCTTTCGCTCCACACGGACCATCACAATCCTATCCTAATACCTCAAATAACGAAGGTAACTCTCATTTAAATAAAGATTTAGCTGTTACTACTACTCGTGATGAGTTTAATCATTCGAATAGAAAAAACAAAAATAAACTAAATGATAACAGAATTAATGAGTTAAATGACGGCAGAGAACGTGTTGACAACATTTCAAATAACAGAGATGATTCTCAATCAACTTCTGCCGCTGTGCATGTTGAGTCTAATAATAAACGTTCAAATAAAAATGATGATCATAATGTTACTGCAACACATAACTCTAATTATTTAAATAAAGAGGATGATTTTCAATCCAGCGAAAGCACAACTACTACGGTACGTGGTAAGTCTCAACGCCCGAATAGAAGAAAAAAAGACAAGTTAAATGATAATGGAAATAATAAGTTAAACGATGATAGAGAAAGTTTTTCAATTACGTCACCTGGCCCATCGGAAACTTATCCCAATTCTTTAAATAATGAAGATGTTCCTCAATCAAAAAATACTCCGGTGCGTAATGAGTCTAACAATAAACGTTCTGATAAAAGAAAAAAGCTTCCGAATGATGGAAGTAATAATTTAAATGAAGATAGGGATCATACTGCGATTGTATCAAGTGAATCTTCAAATACCTATTCTAATACTTTAAATTATGAGAATGATTCTCATTCTACTGAAAATTCAGGATTTAATGAATTTTCTAGTAAAAGTCCTGATAAAAGTTTATCATCTTTGGAAAGAGATATTTTATTAAATAAAACCAATCAAATGAGTCAAGCGGATCAAAGTTTTGATAGTGAAAAGATATCCGATTATTCTTCTAATTCTCAAAGTACTCTAAATTTTGAAAATAATTTTCATTCTGAAAATGTAAAATCAGGACATAAAGCTCGATCTTTACGGAAAAATGTTGCTTTAGTTGCGGATTCGCCAAAAAATCAAGAAGACAGAATTCAATCAGATAATGTAAATGAAAGTGAAAATGTCACGATACTTCAACATAGTGATAATAAAAATACTAATCCACAATTTAGCAAGACTGATGCTAATCGAGATGCTAAATTTAAAGAGAACATAGATAGTATTGATAAAGCTAAATCCGCTAAGCAAAAGAAACAAAAGCAGGTAAAACATGATGTCACTAAGAATGACTACGATAACACCAATGAAGGAGATAAAGAGGATGAAAAGAATAAAGAGGATGAAGAGGATAAAGATGAAGAAGATGAAGAAGTCCTCTCCTCTATTCAAAAAAGACAAGATAGTGAAAGTCAAAAAGGTTTTTCTTATCAGTCTGCTTCATTACAAAGTGGACAATCTGTTCGGAATGAAAATCTTAATTTGGACATAGAAAATAAAGACTTGAAACACGATGATTCGATTCAACAAAACTCTGATCAAGCTGGACAGTCTACTTCAGGGACGACCGGGATTACAAATTTTGTTGGAAAAATTTTTGAAAAAGTTATCCCGAAAGGAAATAACGATGACATTGTAATTGTATTCTATGTTCACATGCCAAGAATCATCAATGACATCGGAGTTCCATGTAAGTTTTATAATATAATTTTATAATATAATTTTTTTTTTTCAAATGCATAAAACTAATTTAATTTAATTTAATTTAATTTTTTTTTTTTTCTGATTTAATTATTTACCATTTAGATGTTGTTGGTAATATTCCGGAATTAGGAGAATGGGATAAAGATAAAGCCACAATTAAGCTCACAGAGAAAAAAATTTCAGGAAAAGCCACATCATGCTGGGAATCGAAACCAGTTCGCATTCCACTTGCACAATTTGCAAAAAAAGTTACTATCGAATACAAGTATGCAATCAAAGAGAAAGGCAAAAAGAACAAGAATAAACCTTTAATATTCGAAGGAGGTGATAATCGTGTTCTTGAAGTTGACGGAGGTGATAAATATGAGATCTGGAAAGAAAATGATAAAATCAAATTCCCTCTCGAACTTGGGGATGTTTATTTAGTGAAAATCATTTATGACTCTGTGATTCCTGAGAACCTTAAAGAGAAGATTATGAATTATGAAAAGATTTTAGATATTTATCCGAGGTCAACAAAAGCTGCTACATCAATTGATTTTATAATGAATTCATTTCTCGAAGATAGATCCCTAGAAAAAAGGCTTTTCTTATGTGTTCTCTTGGGGTATTACGTGAAAGGAAGAGATTCTCAATATTCTTCATTGCCTCCAAAATTTCAATCATCTCTTGTTTTTGAAACAATTCAAAATATTAATGCTGAAACGCTCCCGTCTGGCACTTATAAAATATTGGCATTTACAATTCCACTTTTGGTTCGACACAACTGTATATTTTTAAGTGAATCACTCGATTGGCTTAAGGTTTTTGGTGTAGCCAATTTTATCGATCCAAAATATGAATTCCTCAATTACATATCAGATCTCAGTTATAGCGAAAAAACGATGAATAATTTTTTCAAGAGTTTTAATGAATCTGTTACTCCGATTATTCACACAATTGATGATAAAGAACTTTATGCGAAAATTGTCGAGGTATCTAAAGATTATTATTTTTTCACGTTGTTTATTGTTATTATTTATTGTTGTTAGCGATAGTTATGATTCTAATAATTTTGGTTTGATTTTGTTTGATAGTGGTTGTTCCGTCAATGCTATCTAATGAAGTTCCTTGTTACTGTGTGGCAAGAAATTGTTAATCATGATGATGAGATTGATGAATTACTTCGACCGAATTTAATTGAACGTGCTCGATATATTTTAAACCGCAATGTTTCATGCAATTATCTTTATAATTGTTACTGTGATTTGCCTGAACAACTCAAAATCATGTTTACTGAGATATTCCGTCAACAATCTTTACGTTTATTATCGGCTAAACAAAACCAACAATGGGACAAATTTCAATTAGATGCAATTATCAATCTTTTAACAAATGATCAAATTCAATGGTCTTTAGAGGAATATTTCAATGTGTTAGATACTGTTTCCCAAAGTATAGATCTTGGACTCCTTACACGATTTCATGAGCTGCTGAAATTTGGATTTAAAACGTTCAATATAATGAATATAATGGAAGAACAAGAACAGAAACTTTCACTTTTATGCAAGCAATGGTATCGCAATTTATTAGATCGGGCGTCAAGCTGTTCTAGCTCAAATGCTGATCTTAAAAATAAATTTGCCTTTATGGCGTTCAATCATATTTCAAAGGTTTATCCTTATATTGGTAAAATTCCTATTTGGGAAGTTTTACTTGAAATTGTAGTAAATCGTGTTAGACCTACTTCTGAAAATATTATTCTTGGTGCTGTGAATAAAGTAGCGCAAAGATTAGAGCCACCAGTTATAGAAGCATTTATCACTATGGTGAAAGACAAATTAACTGTATCTATGTTATGTGCGGACAATCAGCTTATGACAAAGATCAAACTGATTTGTGATTGTTCCACTGATGAATTGAAAATACCTACAAGGTAAGAATAAATACTATAACAACACTGATCAAATGCTGAAAATAAACGTACAGTCATGTTGTTGGCTTGGTTAATTGATTGACGAAGGTACAATGTTGCTATACTATTGTTTAATACCATATAGTCGCGAAATAACACGCAGGGACGCGTTATTTCGGAACGTCCATGCGCGTTATTTTGAATCAAAGTGGTAAAATTTGAACCCAATGCACATATATCAAATTTTGCTAATACGAAGTAGGAGTTATTTCTGGACGCGCCTGGGCGTTATTTTGTGATGCTTCTAAAGGGAGCAATTCCGAAATAGCTCATGGGCGTTATTTTGTGATGCTTCTAAAGAAGCAATTACGAAATAACTCATGGGCGTTATTTCGCGACTTTACAGTAGATATTTTAGTTTTACCTATTAAGCAAACAGACTTTCAGCACCTTTGGAAACAAATTTACCAGATCAAAAATTATGATTATGATTATTCATTGTTTTTTTTTTCATTTGATCAGTACAATAATTGATATTTTATTGTAAGATAGTGCAAAAACTTATCATCAGTTATTTCATAATAGTTTTAGTGAGGATGTCTTGTGCTATATCATGACTCGATTACAAAATTCTTATGATTCCCAAACTTTTTCCGAGAATTTTCATCTTTCTTTACTTAAATCTGGAGATTTTTGGATTCAACTATTGAAAGCCACCGGAAGTGTTGATAAATTACATTCACATCCACAAATTACTGAAGTTCGGAATGCTATTTCTCATCTTGCAGAAATTTTAATTGAAGAATCTATTAGTATCGACTTACTTCAAGAACTTTTAAAGAAAGATGATGATTTTTTGCTTACATATTTTGGTTTCGCTATTATGAAAGATGATTTATCATCTATAAACAAGGATATCCTGACAAATATTCGAGAAAAAAATCGAATTTATGGATTAGGTCTTAACTATCTTAATTCTTTTTATACTGAATTTTGCCCACAATCCATTGCCTTTGATGTTAAAGAGTATTTAGATGACATTTATGAAATGCATCAACGTAAAAAGGTTATTACACTTAGAGACACATCTTTGACTTATTATTGGGGAATGCACACAGATGTGTTGGAAATTGCTGAAGAGTTATATAAATATAGGAATTCTCAGACATTCAAGAACTTTTTGAATCTCACATTGAATGACTTAATAAATGAAACATATGAAGGTGATGCACAAGAAGTTAAATGGTTAGTTATTATGATGCCAGTTATTTATAAAGACTATTGCCAGTGGTGTAGTTCTTATTCGAAATGGGAAACTCAGAGATTTTCACATGCCAAAGTCTTATGGGATAAAGTTCCAGATGTCAATAGCGAACTTGATTTGATGGGTGATCTATTAAAAGTTGAAAAAAATTCAAAATTAATAAGAACACTAACTGATATTTCTAAAGTTACCCAATGGATCGATAAATTACAACAACTTAGTGAAGTTGAATCCAGCTTTAGGGTACAAATAGATGAAGATGAAGTTGAAGATGATTGGTTGCAAGACACATTAGGTGACTTGAAAGATGATGAAACGTTGACATTAGGAATATTGAGTGATTCTTTTGATCTATTACATGAAAGGCTTCAAGTGCTTGATGATGCATGCTGGGCATTGATCAAAGAGTTGTCTCTTTCTGGAGATTTCTTGAATTGGATTCGATCCATAGCGGATCATGATATTAAGAATTTGATTAATGGAGTAGACGATCATTCTGATGAAAGACTTATTCAAGAAGATACAGTATCATCTTTAATTCAAGTTAAACAATTTCTTTTACCGATTATGATTGAAGCAGAAAGTTGTTCACGAGAAAAATTTTTGAAAGAAATACGAAATGTTACAGAAACTAATTCTTCATTAGCTAGCAAAATTACTTTGTGTAATTGCAACAATATGGCATTACAAAATATGTATGGTATGCATAAATATTTTTACTTCATTGTATGCTTATTATCATTATGATTATCATTTATACATATAATTAATCTCAACTATTTAATAACATATAGCCGCTATTTCGAATCGTGGTGAAGTAACCAAGGAAAAGATTTATGTAAGTTTTTATCAATAAACTAATGATCATGAATTGTAAAAGATTGTATATTTATATTTAAAAATATATATATATATATTAGAATGCAGTCAAGATTGGTGTCTATGAATTTAAATGGACATTAAAGGATGATACATGCTCTGCTACCTTATCTTATTCTTCTAAAAATGGCGTAAAGATGACATATTCTATGAATGATTTGCAAGATTTACGTGGTCGAGCATTGTTAATAGCTAAACCTGCATCTACAATATATACTGAAGATGAGGAAGAATCAAAAGATATAATGAATGAATTTGTACTACAAGTTGACAAGGCACAAAACATTATTGATGAATCTACTAAGCTTATCGAGGCTGGTCATTTTAATTATCGTGACTGCAAGAAAGAGGTTAAAGGTTTGGAGCAATTGAATACACATCTTAAAAATTTAGAAAAAGATTTAAAAGCTTGGTAAGTGGAATTTATACAATCAAGGTTTTAAAAAAAAATACGTAAATTAAATTAATTGCATATTTAATTTATTATTTCAACTTTAGGGAAAGCACGGTATCAAAAGTCCAGCAAGAACATTATTATTTAACATTCTTTCCCGCTCGACACATTCTTTCCTTTTATGACTATTTTAGCAATAGCAAGGGGGCTAATCGAAGGATTTGTGAAAAGACTTGTGAAACTCTTGTAAGATATGTCAATTTTGGAGCCAAATTACCACCAATGCGAAATCCTAAAGATGCATTAAATGTTAAAAACAATCACTACAAAATTCTTTGTGAAATTGGAACAAGATTAAAGAGCATTTTTGAATCTCTACCAAAAGATCCTATTCCTTTCGAAGAATGTGGTGAACGTGTAGTTTCTGATGTTGTATACCCTGGAAAACTATTTGTCGCTGCATGCAGTGATCGATCAGTTATTACTAATATTATAATGTCATTATATGCTAACAGTAAATTTTATCCTAACGCATGGCAACTCTTAATTTGCACATCATCCACAACTTCAGAGGAAATTGCAATATTTATTAAGCGATGTTCATTTGCTTCGAACAATGGATACAATGATTATCTTTTTTGTATGGCTAATCTAGAGGTTCTTGATTATAAGTTGCAATATTATGTAGTTAAACAAATACGAAATCTTTTAGATAAAGCCAAAAATTTTTACCTGGCTTTAATTTGTTGTCAAGAATCGGGAATGCATCATCATATTTTGGATCAATTTTCTGAGTATGTTCGTAAAACCGATGGATTAAGTGCTAAATCAATGAAAGAATCGTATCGAGATATATGCCGAAAAGTAGTCTGTGTAACTTCTGATTTATCTGGACAAGGAAAGACTGAATGGATAAAACAAGAAAGTTATAGAAAAAAAGTTATTCCACGTACTTTTATTATTAATGATGGAGCCGATTTTGGCAAATTGGTGAGACAATTTATGAAATTTCCGATTCGTAAGGAGTTGGATTCTTTACATATTAATATCATATCAGCAGACAATCCTTGGGAGGTTAATATGTTTTTATTCCATTTATTAACATTTGGTATTGTTTCGCATCAAAGCGATATTGCAACCCTTCCTGATATCCACATATATATCGAAGTTGCTTCTAGTGTGGATAATCGATTAGCAAAATCATTACCAATAGTTAGTTATTTAGATACTCCGCATCTTCGTTTCAATCTTAAAAAATTAATCGTATCAAATGAGATTTGTAGTCCAGTTCAAGTAGTTTGTCAATACTTAAATGCATATGAGAATGCGTCATTGGATGAACATGAAATATCTTATCTACCGCCTACGCTAAAACCTCTTCCTTCTAAAA